TCATTTCGCTATTCATAAGTACTTGTAAGCTGGCTATAAATTGTGCTTATGTGATACAATACACTCATTATTCATTCGTTTTAACTGCATTAGTAATATCATTGGGGCACTTTAGCTGGGTTACGTCGACCCCTTGTGGTCATTCTATATTATTACATATTGTGCAAAATTACACAGATTGTGTTACATATATAATATCAAGTTTTAAAGCAGCTATAATGACTGGCCTCTACACCTGCATTCAGGCTAATTACTTGTGGGTCTGGCATGAGGCATTCCGTATACTACAAGCAATCAAGATGAGGCATTGTTGGTTTTTTTTTTTTTGTTATGTGACACATAAAATTCTTAAAACACGTACAGTTTCACATGTCATTTTTTCATGTTTCAACTAGCCACTTGAGGTTGCATAGCCGGTATTCTTACGTGTTACTTCTACATTTATAGGCTAGGCCATCAACGCAGCCTTGTGGGGATTGGTTCCAGTTTCCAATTTAGGATATATCTACCTGGTAGGTATCTGGGGTACAGGAGGGAATTTCAGGTACATGTCGATACCCACTTAATAGTTATTAAATTTAATTTAATTATAAATTCACTATTTAATCTTGTAGGAACTACAGTTCACCGGTATTACCTTACCCAGCGAAAAACTCAACTCACAGGTACGTCCCTTTGCCTCGATTCAACACGAACCCCTTCCCCGTCTATTTTTATAAGCTAGTTATTCACTGGCACTAAAGCATAGGAGCCTCTAGGTACGTTCTTCTTGGCCTTCTACGCCTTACGTTAGTGGTCCCCCGAGGCCAACACCCATCCTCAAACGGAGGTACGACATCCCCTCGGGCCAAATCATAGTTAGCCGCCTCGCACAGTTGCATAGAGAGGGCATCACCTGTCACTCCCATTCTGTCTTTTTCTGGTTATTGTCACAGAGGGGCCAACTCCCCGCCATAATGTCAATGGCCTCATAACCCAATCGGGCCAATTCATAGGTAGAGCCTCTCACAGCCGCTTGGCTACTAGTAGGTCCTCACCTGTCACCTATCGTCTTAATTGTTTCTCCGCTTGGCACTAGTTAAAAAACAGCCAGTGAAGAATTTTTTACACTAGGTAAAACATCTAAAAATTTATTTTATAGCATGTCACAACTACCAGAAGGGTCACAACTACCAGAAGCTGGGGAAGATTTGTCTATCCCTAGCACACCTGCTAGATCGGTCACTCCATCTCAAGGAGTCGACAATGCAAGTCCTTCATCTCTACGCTCCTGGACGATTCCTCGGATC